GTTTAGGGTTTAGCGTGGCTTTTGAGTTTTGGGTTTACGGGGGGGTTTAGGGTCGGGTGTAGGGTTTTAAGTACAAGTTAAGGTTAATCAAGACAGAGGCACGCGGTGCGTTATAGGGTTTACGGCTTGCTTGCGAAGGGCTTGCGTGTGAGCTCTGAGCACCACCCCACCATCCAGTGGCAGCTCCAACGGCCCCGACCCCTTTCCGCAGACGCCAGCCCCCCCACCCCCCCGCCCCTTAGCAGACCATATCATTGGGGAATTGGGGGAAGGGAACGCCAGACGCCTGACCATATATACATATGATTGCATTCAGATTTGTATCTGCTGGAGCATCACCTTCCAGACGGACCAATCCTGTTCAGCATCCATAGGAGTCCCGTCGAAGCCAGTTGTGTTGTGAGTCACGCAGCTTTTCGACAAAAATACACACACTGCCGTGGTGCATGCTGCGGCCGCCGGTTTTGGTTCCTTTCGGTCTGCTCCTAGATTCACATGCGAGGCCAGAGACCCGCTTGTTGCTGTCTGAGGCATGCGCGTTTCCGTCACATGATGCCTGCACTTGCAAGTAACCCATGTCTGAAGCAGCTGCAGAAAGAGAGTAGAATCTCTTCACCCTTTTTTTCATGCTGTCACAGCATTTGGCTCAGTGCCAATTCCGACACCGTTAGCTTATGCGGCACATGTCATCCACCCCTGAAGTCTGAAAAGTTTCAGTCTTCAGACAGGGTTTGAAACAACCGGCGCACCCGGCGCACCATGGACACTGTCTTCGCATGGCTCCAGGGTGCCGGCCCTGCCGGCTCCGAGCTTCCGGAAGTCTACGATGTTCCCTCTGATGCTACTTGCCGGTACCAGCCACTCGCAAGCATTGTGGAAACAAGTTTGGGAGTCAGCTGTCATGCTGCATGTCCGAGGATTAAGATCGTGAAGGCGCTCAGCGACAATTATATGTAGCTTCGGCAGCTATATCCTGTGAGTTTTCGCAGATCCAGGCTCAACCTGCGCAAGCACAGACAGTGCAAGTCTTGGAGGTACCTGGTCGTTGCCAAGGATTCCGCCCGAGCCGTCGCCATCGATCCCGCCGAGGGTGAGAAGACTGCAGCACTTTGCAAAAATCTACAGGTCAGCTGGTGAGCTGGTCAGCTGATGCCTTGGCAGTTGCCGGAAGCGTCGCAATGGGGTCGTCCAGAGCCTGAGCAGATCGACCTCGTCGGAGTGCTGAACACGCATTACCACGCAGACCACTCAGGCCGTCTAGTCAGAGCAATGATGAAAGCAGCTCCACTTCTGACTTGGTATTACCCGTGGGAGTTTTTCCGCGAGCTTCCGCACATTTTGCCAGGTGGCAACGCCTTTCTTGCGAGCACACTGCCTGGCCTCGAAGTGGTGGTCGGCGAGCGCGATGCCGTGCTTTCCTCAGTGGAGAGGGGCCGTGGATGCTGTGATGTTTGATGCTGAGACACGATCGATTGAGCTGCACAGAGGATCGAACTCCAGCAGTTACGCGCCGGGTGCGGGACCGTGAGAGCATTGAGCTGGCAGGCAGGCCCCTGCCACGATTCTGCGATTTGCAGGCTTGCAGGATCAGCAGCTCGCGTGTCGTCTCTTTCAGGCCTCAGCTTTCGCTGCGTGGCCACACCTTGCCACACTCGCGGCCACGTTTGCTTCCTTTTGGATGCCGACGACGGTCAGGCAGGTTGCAGGTTCGAGTTGCATGAACGCCTCATTGGGTATTTCATGTCCATGGAATCGGAAGCGTCTCCCAGGCACCCGCGCTCTTTTCAGGAGACGCTCTTTTCGTAGCCGGCTGCGGCCGGTTTATGGAAGGCACACTCTTTTTTCGTGGGAGGGAAGTTGAAGAACAAGCTTGGAAGATCTTCGAAGGCACCGCACTGTCTATGCGCCGGACCTTGCATGCCCTGGCAGCGCTGCCGAAGAATACACGGCTCTTCTGTGGCCACGAGTACACGGTGCCCAGTTGTGGAACATGGGATCGTCTTTCTGCTTGCCCTGCTGTGAGACTTTTCAGAACTTTGAGAGAAGCTGAGGTCGGGAACCTGGAGTACGCTCTGTCCCTGGAGCCCTCCAGCAACCTCTTGAAAGACCGCTTAGATGCAGCGAAGGCCAAGCGGGCAGAAGGCTTGCCGACAGTACCGTCCACACTGTCGGAGGACCGCGTTTTTACGTGCGGGTCACATGTGACTGCGTCGGGTGATGGCATGCCGAGCAGGAGCAGGAGCACAATCCCTTCTTCCTTGCTTTGGACTCCGAGGGTGTCGATGACCTCACGGAATTGAGCAGGTTGCGTCGTGGAAACTCATCTTAACAACTTGAGCGCATCAGTCCGAAGATTCAATTTTGTGGAGCTGAGGCAAAGACACCTTCACATTTCCAGGGAAGATCATCACGATGGTGCTGGATGTACAAAGTTACTTCTATCCTCCCGTTGACGAAGAGATTCTCTGAGCTGCGCTGTCTGCCAAAGCTCCAAAGCTGAGCCGCAGACGCCGCGGAGGGCAGCAAAAGAACGCGGTGTGTCACTCTCGGAGCCGCGGAGTCTCGCCGCGCTGCGAGCGAGACACTTTCCGTGACTCAGGCCCTCAGGAGGGCGCCTGTCAGGTGCATTCCACTCGGTAAAGCACAGGGTTGAGCACAGTTCCTTGACAGGCTCGGCTCCGGCTCCTGCGTCCACAGCTTCCCATCACCTGCCGCCGCTTGGAAGCGAGCGGAGCATTGAAGGATACAGGCGATTTTGTCGAGTCCTCAGGAATGGCAAGAGCCTGGAGGCTGTTGTACGACCCTCGTGTGCATGGTGTCTCCATCGGCACCTTCTTTCGTCAATGTCAGGCCGAACACAGCTGCCATGTGTCCATAGCCTTTGGCAGATGAGGGAAGCCTTAGTCGTGCTTGAAGGCTTGGCCGGGGGAGACCCTGATCTTTGTTGAGGACCGTCGGCTCTTTGCAGTTCGTGATTTCCTCGAAGTTTCGGAAGAAGGCAGTGGGATGTGGGCGGAGAGACATGAAGGCCCCAATGATGCTTGCCACTCCAACCGCTCGCAACATCTCTCGATAGTCTCTCGTTTTATCTGGACCTATCCTCGACAGAAAGATCGTGAAGCTGCATGATCTGTAAAACTTGTGGCGAACATGATGTACGCATGAGGCTGTTGCGTCTCTATCTTCCCAGTTCAAAGCGGGTCCAAGCGAGTGCAGGAGAAGCCGTCGTCCAACACCTAAACCACCGCCTGCAAACAACAACAGCTTCAGGCTTCGACTGAAACCCTTCAACGTTGCCGACAAGCCTCCCAATTTGCAGCTGCAGAACCCATGTCGAAAGAATTAGAACAGAACCCCAGCCCGTGCGGGCGAAGCTTCGCGAAGCGTTTTGGTGCTTGGAGTCGGAGGATGTGGAGGGCTCCGTCTTCGGAGCCTTCGCTTCGCAGACCTGGCAGGCGCAGGGCTCAGCTGCGAAGCAGCTCCGGGTAGCTGCAGCAGAGGGAGGGAATCGCTGCTCTGGAGATGGAGCTCAGGTTTCCACGCGGCGGCACTTCGGAGAGCCCAGCTGCTTCGTCTTCCGCTTTCATCGGACGGAGGCATGACTCGGAGCAGTGAGAAGCTTGGGCACATTGACAAAGAGGACGTCGAGTTCGCAAGTTCGCCACCAATGAAGCATGCCTGTTTACGCGTTCTTTTTGTGCGATCAGGCGCGTGCGTCCGAGCATGGTTGAAGATGTGCCGGGTTTGGTCAGTGACAACACTGGCAGGCAGGTGAGGACATCGAACTGTACCCTTGGGTACTGCTGGCTGTGTTTTCTTTAGCTTGCTTCGCATGCAGCGTGGTCTGTCTTGCAAAGCCTCGTAAGTTAAGCACGACGGCAGCAGTCTTGATCAGGCCGGGGTCAACCAATACTTTCTCTTCGCTGATAGTGGCATGTGCCCAAGTTCTTACCATGTTTGCATGAGCACTGAGCACCCACGCACATTTTGGCTTCTGAGGTGGCTTAAAAGTCGGCGGGGGCAGGCTGCGCGTGTCTGGTGATGAAGCCGAAGCTTAGCCACCGCGAACTGGCAGCTCTTCGTTTTGCAGTCGTTTCCATTGTTGTAGGGCCAGCCGAAGACGCTTCCGACGCTTCCGTTTGTATCCATCTGTCTATGCATCTCTGGACAAAGCCTTCTACCGAGATCTATCCAAATCTGTCTAGATGTATCTAGATCTATGAAAAGCCGAATGCTGTGACTGCCTGATTTCCAGATCTGCTGCAATCTGGATCGATGCGGACTTCCTCAAGGGAGCCTCGGTGACTTTCATTAATTTCAGCATGGTTCTCTCTTTCCTGCGGCAGTGGGTGCCTAGATCTTCAAGAAACCCCCCTTCCTCGGCATCTGCCATTTGCAAAGCCACGCACACCTCGGCGCTGCAGGGGGGCTGTGAGACCTTCGGCACGACGGCTCCACTCAGCAGCTCGGAGGAGTTCGTCGTGCGCCGTTTCGAGCCGCCCTGGCCTGTGAGAGAAGCCGAAGCGGGAGCATACAGATTGAAGCATCTTGGCAGATGCTGGGGCTTTGACACAGCGGATCAAATTTCCAACGAGGCAGACTTTCCGAGTCAGGACCTTTGCCTGTGAGAAGAGCTTCCAAAGCCGTCGTTAGCTGGATGTCCAGCAAGCAAAGCACGCGAGGATTCTCGCCTGCTCCTGCGTGAGCAGGCTTGGGAGCAGGCCTCTGCGGGCGTCGGGTACTGTGTGATGCTTTGGTCAACGATTTTGCTTGAAGCCGTGGTTTGCTAGCTGCATCCGCAGCTAGTGAGAGTGGAAGATATCCCTGTGGCATGGACGCACGTTGTTGTGCTCGGAATTCTTTCGTTTGGCCTTGTCCCAGCTTTCGGTTCAAAACGGGCGAGGGCTCGGGCAGCGTGCCTTCGAGTGTCGAAGGTCGGAAAGCAAGCGTCAGGAGTTGGATCAGTTCAGGCGCAGCAAGCCGACTGCAGTGTTTGGAGGATGGCCGAGCCCGATGATCCGCTCGTGATTAATGTCGTGGGTCGACACAAGGAGCCTAAAATTGTCGTTGGGTCTGCACGGATGCTGAAAGTGCAACGTTTTCTTTCGAGGAGCGCGAAAATCAGGATCTCCAAGGCGAGTACCACATGAAGCTCGAGTGCATCCAGATAATTGGGTGGACGTTGATTGCGAAGGTTGGTTCGGGAAGCATGATGTGTTTTCCTACGGAACTTGTTGCATGATGCTGGTCAGCTGCCAGGTATGTTTGAGTCGAATCAAGCCATAAACTTGCTAAATGATGAGGCACCTGCAGAATAAGCCGCATGTGCATGGCCTGCTGCGGTAGAACACTTGGTTGTGATTTTTCGATTAGATGTAACTTTTCAGCTTTTTCAGCAATATGACTGAGTTGTATCGTTTTTGGGCTCCCAACACAGCAAACCTCTGCAGAGGGTGGCAAAACAGGCATCTTAGTTATGCCTTTGTTGTCTTTCTGGCACCAGGCCACAAAATTCTTCGGTTTATCAAGTTTTCCCGCTCAAGCTTGTGGTCTTCGGTCAAGGTTTCCTGCTGGATTCAGTCCGTAGGGTTTTCGTCTTGGGTATTCACTCCTTACAGTGAATCTCGGAAAGTTGGAACATAGATTTAGGATGATTAGTGCTGGGATCCCCTATCAAGTATCTCAAGGGCAAGAGCATAAGAATGTTCCATGATGTTCCAACTTTCTGGCTCCTACTTTAGGGTTTTCGTTTCGGGTTACTTGTGGATTGGCTGCTTGGGGTTTTCGTCTTCGGTCAAAAGGTTCCTGCTGAATTCACTCCTTAGGGTTGTCGTCCTTCGGGAAAGGGTTCCTTCTAGGTTCACTCCTTAGGGTTTTCGCCTGTATTCACTCCTGGGGGTTTGCTTCTTCAGTCAGGGTTCCTGCTGAATTCACTCCAAACGGTTTCGTCTTCGGGCAAAAGTTCCTCCTGGATTCACTCCTTAGGGTTTTCGTCTTGGAAAAAGTTTCCTGCTGAATGCACTCTCTAGGGTTTTCGTCTTCGGTCAAGCATACTGCTGGATTCACTCTTTAGGGTTTTCGTCTTGGAAATTCACTCCTTAGGGTTTTCGTCTTAGGTCTTCACTCGTTTGGGGTTTCGTCTTGGGTACAGTTTCTTGCTGGCTTCACTCCTTGGGGTTTTCGTCTTAGGGCAAAGGTTCCGGCTGGATTCACTCCTTATTTCACTCTATAGGGTTTTCGTCTAGGGTCACTCCTTATTAAGGGTTTTCGTCTTCGGGAAAAGGTGCCTGTTGGATGCACTCTTGAGGATCTTCGTCTTCGGTCAAGGGTTCCTGCTGAATGCACTCCGTAAGTTTTTCGTCTTCGGGAAACGGTTCCGGCTATTTTCACTCCTTAGGGTTTTCTTCTTGGGAATTTACTCTTTAAGGTTTTCGTCTTGTATTCACTCCTTAGGCTTTTCGTCTTGGGCTTTCACTCCCGGGGTTTCCGTCTTGGGTTACTATTGGATTTACTCTTTAGGGTTTTCGTCTTGGGTATTCCCTCCACTTACGTAAAGCGTGACTACCGGGTTGGTTGGGGCTAGGTGGGGTAGGTTGGGTAGGCCGGTCAAGCGTGGTAGTGGGGTAGGCGTGGGCCAGGTGGGGTACGTGGGGCAGGTGGGGTCAGTAGGACACAGGAAAGGTTCATCTAAGAGTAAAAAGTTACTTCTAAGAAAATAAAAAAGTTACTGCGCAGCCTGCTGCCGCCTGCTGCGGTCTGCATCTTGCAAGGATCGGCATGGTGCACGGCCGTCCTGCTTATCGCAAACCTGGTACGAGGCTCGTGTTGGGACACCGGGGAAAGAGAGCAAACGCTCCTAACGCTGCAGGCAAGCAAACAACAGATTCTGCAAGAGCCGTCTGAGTCTCCAACCAAGCCGTTTCCGGACGCACCTGACCCGGAAGGACGGTGATTAGATACTGGCCTGTCGCTGACCGCTGGCTGATCGACAGGGAGGGTGTCCAGGAGTCTGGAGTACGGTGTTTATGAAGACGAATCAGGGACGAGACTGAGATGATCACACTTGACTTGTGACTGCACATGCTGTCCTCTTCTGCCCGCATGGTAAGAGCAGGAGTCTGATATTTGCAACGCCTATGCAGAGCAGGGCGGTGCAAGGCATCCTGCAGTCGAGGAGCTCGTGTGGCTTGGGAGCAGCAGGCTTCTGATTCGGGCCCCGAGCGGAGCAGAGCGGAGCAGAGCGGAGCAGAGCGGAGCAGAGCGGACCAGCGAGGTGGAGAGTCTGGGAGTCTCAGCATCGGCAGCATGTCCGTGACCCCGAGCAGCCGGCCTGAAATTCAGCTCGTGGAATTCAAGCGACAGGTGGTTCCTAAGCTGAGGTTCCTGGTGACCGCAGCGCCCAACACCATCCAAGCCAATTGACAGCACGGAAGAATCCGGAAAAGCAGCGGGGTATACTGCATCTCATCTTTGCCACACTCGCTCTTGAATCTTTTGGCATGGCTACCGCCTTCAGTCACGCCATGTTGTGTCATCCACCAGCTTGTGTGCCTGAGGTGCTTGGGCGTGCTGCTGGAAAGGAGAACTGGGCCTTGAACGGTGAGCATCCCGTCGCAGATGAGACGGCTCTTGCTTGTTTATGGTGGCCGATGTTGCTGTATAGATCCCGTAGAATGCACTAGGCGGCTGTTCAAGACGCCTCACATCTTGACACTGGCCAACCCTCCGTAGCCATCTTGTTCAGCAGAAGTGGGTCCCGGCGGCAATTACCAACCCTAGCAGTGCAACCGACAGAACATGAAGTGAAAATCTGGCACATCGAGTCCAGGATTGATCTTGCTTACGGACAACCATGCATGCACTAATGCATCTGGGTTTGTCGGATGGCTCCGCGCTGTCTTCAATTGAGGTTTCCTCACCGTCACATTCCGGAGTTTCGACGTATTCAGCCCCGAGCTTCGGAGACTCTGTCTGGGAGAGGTGTGAGATAAGCACTCCACCAGCCCTGGCCCCACCGAACATCGGGAGGGCCGAGCAGGGAAGGCTTAATGCGCCGGTGGGGCGACTGCTGCATGTCGGCGTTCGCTTGCCGCCGCCTCGACCTGTTCTGTCCGAGACAGCGATGACAGCCAGGGCAGCCATGACGGGAGCCCGTGTAGGCGCGGACGCAAAGCTTTCACCACCGGCTCCGCGCCCTGAAGCAGCTGGTCCCGCAGACCAGGAGCTCTTCGTCGCTCACAGCGCTGTGAGCACGGAGACCCGCTCTTATTTGGACGTGGAGCAGACAATGGCCCCACTGCCCGTTCCTTCAGTCCCTCTTTCCCCACCCTGTCTTGCCAGACGTTGCCCACCCGTATACCTCTGGGCGCCGTTTCCGGAGAGCGAGCCAGACACGGACTCCTTGCCAAGGCCGGAGAGCCTGGAAAACGCAGGTTTGCTGGCTGAACCATGCATCGGCTTCGACAATTCCCAGGCCAGTGAGACGGCTCCCAGCCCTGAAGCCCTCAAAGAAGGGCCCTCCGCCGACGAGGCTGGAGGAGTGGTCTCTTTGGCAGCAGAGGCAACGCCAGGTACTACATGGGTAAGCCTGGCTCCGGCGCGGCGCCTCCGAGGCATCCCGCTATCGCTGCGATCGTTCCAAGTCCTGGACGCGGAGGAGTCGGCAGAGCGCGCGCGCGAACCACACACAGAGCCGGCGGCAGAACAGGCAGAGCAGGCAGAGCCAGAACAAACCTGGCCGTCCAATACCTGCGAGAGTGCCGCAGGGCCACAGGATGCCTGGTGTACGTTCTTCGAGGATGCAGTGAAACCGCTGAAGCCCAGAAGGAGCGCAGCTACGACAATGACCTGGCGTGCTGCCCAAGTCGCAGCCATGGCAGAGAGCCAGCATTTACACCATCCAGGAGAAGAGCGCGGGTGTGTGGACGATGACTGGACACCGAAGTCCGAGCTTCTGACGCAACATGCCGACCACGAGCATGGAGAATCTCTGGAGAATGCGCTGCCGTCACGTCATAGGGCGCGTGCTGTGCGGGATGCGAGCAGCGACAGCGACAGCGATTACTGGACGAGCAGCGCGCATCACAGGTTCGGCTCAGAGTTTGGGGAATCTGCGCAGGAGGATGGAGATTCGGAGCAGCAGGGAAGACGGCCCCACTACCACGGCCCCGGTTCTGTGAGTTCTTTGTCGCCCTTCTCACCTGGCAAAGCCACCAGCGCCAGCCCCAGGCTGAAGCGCGTCTTGGACTTGCGCGGGCTCCTGTCCCAGGGGAGGCCTGGGAGAGGCCGAAGCTCACGGCCTCGGGTCACACTGTCTCTGGATGCCAGTGGTGGGCCGTCCTGGCTCGGGGACTCTCCGGCAAAAGAGGCAGACCGAAGGGCTCCGAAGGCTCCTGACTTCTTCCGCCAAGGTACAAGTTGATTGGACTTCATCAAGGCAAAGTTGCTTACCAGAAGGCAGGCAAGTTTAAGCCGCTTGCACAAAGCTTGAGTTCAGCCTTGAGCCTCACCCTGGCCGCCTGGCCTTCCGTGCGATCAGACCTGTGATAAGGCATGCCATTCGCAACTTGGAACAGGTTAGTTGAAGAGTGGGCATGTAGCCATGGACTTCGGAGAGTGAAGCATGGATTACGATGCAAGGATACTGGAGAGTCGGAGACAGGCGAGGCTCGGGAACCAGCACAGCACGAAAGCTGCGCTTTTTCAGTGAAGCATGCTTGTCTCAAGCCTATAGCTGACATGAAAGCCTCGAACTCTCCGCCACGGCCACCTTCACGCCTCCGCTGCATAGTTAACCGAAAAACCCTTCAGGTGGCTTATTGACCTGGAAGGTCTGCGAGATGTGGATATTTGCAATGCATATGCAGATGCGCAGAGCACCAGCTATCCAGGCTTTGGATGTCTTTTTCCATCTTCGCCGCTAGAGAGCAGTCTTTGCAGCATTGCCCCAGCAGGTGAGATCCGGCTTCAGTGGCACATCTGGGATTCAACCAGGCACAAAGTGACGCTGTTGAGTGTAGGGTTTTCCGTTTGCGGTCTCCCTGTCACTCTCGGGGGAGGCAGCGCCACACCTTAGACAGCAGCCTCTGCACTTTGGTCACGCCCTCCGTCATCGAAGTGGTCGGCCCGGCACTTGGTAGAGATCTGCGCCTGCACTGCAGAAGGCAGTGCCTCTCAGCCTCTCAGGTCGGGAGTCGCCGAAGGAGAACACAGCGATGAAGCTTGGCCCTGCCACAGAAAGGGTCGAGGCCGCGAGGGGAAAGTGGTAGGACATTCTCAGGAACGGCAGCTACCATTTAGATGCTTGCCTGCAGAAGCACCAGACGATTCTATGCCTTCTCTCGATTTCTTCTGGCTTAGGTCGGGCTACATGCCGGCCAGCCGGCCTACATGAAGGCAGTCTCAGTCTAGTCGCTTCTTGTGACTCAGTGGTCCGCTCCGGCTTGAGCTGGCTCTTCCGTTTTGCTCAGACTGATGGCAGCGGTCACGCGATCCGCTACTGGCCGCGAGAGGAGCGCTGGCTGATAGATCTAGATGGCTTGATGCTCGGACGGCAAGGGTAGTCTCGAACGGCAAGGGTAGTGTTGACATCTTATCTTTGCGTGTTTGGCTTCTCGCGTTTGCTTCGTATTGCAATCGCACCTGCATCAAAGGCGAGATACAGAGATTTGCAATGCTTATGCGGAAGCAGGTGGCCCCTTGGCGAGCCCGCATGGCCTGATGCTTTAGTTACAATGTATGGCTATGTTTCGTCCGGCCTTGTCTCACTTCACTGTTAAGTCATTGAAAGAGATCTGGTACTCCGCTTGGACCTCGTCCGTCGCACTGAGGAACAGGAGCGCATATGCATCCTGGCCATCTGAATCTGGCTGCTCTACTGAGCTTCAGACCTCAAACCTCTTCTCTGGGCAGGGTGGGCAGGGCCAGGCCGGCCAGGCTTGCAGGTCAGGTCAGCATGTAAGGTTTGGCACGTCTGGGAGACGAGCCGCGGGCGGCACCTCACGGATCCAGCGGTGCGTTCGTGGCCTGGCTCAGATGCACTGAGTTGGTGTGTTTATGGTTGGAGACTGATGCAGTGCTCTCTGTTCTCGCGCCTCGTTTCGTTCTGGGCTGCAAGTCTCAGCACCAGCGAACAGAAGCCCAGGTTCGTCGCACCACACTTCGTGAGAGTATCTGGCCGGGACCCATACAAGGAAAATTCTACGATCAACGGCCACTTCCATGCATTGCAGGGTTTTGCGATCACAGCATCGGACAACAACAGGGATATCAGAGGGGGCCGTGCAAACTGGCTTCGCGTTTATTCATGTTGCTAGTGTCTGGGCACGATCTCACAGCTAAGGGGATTACGAGCTCGTAAAGATCGTGGAGGGCAAGCCAGCCTACAAGAAGGCTCCTGTTGTGCTTGTGGTGCAGCCGGTGATCAGCATGCAATATGTGATTGCCTCAATGGCAGGCGGATGCTGACCACGTGATTCGATTTTGGCCGGCAGAGGAGTGTTTTGGCATTGCTTCAGTTCAATGTAGTGACTGGTATCACGTGCTCTGTTGCACAAACGTAATCAGCACAGCAGCACAACAGATGTCTCAAAACACTCAGCACAAAACTAGCATACATTCCCGCGGGCATCACAACCCTGTCGCACCGTCGCACGATGTCCCCTGGCCCGGTCTAGACGGGCTGGTCAAGCAAGAAGCAAGACTTCCGACGTTCCTTCCGAGCAGCGCTCATCGCCGGCATCGTCCTAAGCTCTCAGGCGATGGATCATTGACCTCGAAGCTGGCTCGGGCCTCATCCGCGAATTTATCCCTCCAGTCGTGGGGCATCTTCGTCAGGCTTTCATGGCGGAGATGTCGCAAACACCTTCGCAGATGCCAAAGGTGTCTAGGAGGCATTGTTGTCTCAGTAGCGAATGTTGATTGATCCGGCAAGCAGATACGACGTGGCATGCAATGCAGCTACGCGGACTTAGGTGCAGAGAACCCTGGCAACAGCGAGTTGTGACTTGGCTCTTGGCAATGTACCACGTCGAGGAAAGAGGCTGAGAGGCTAGCAAGGCGGCAGTTGTTCCCGAGGCTCTGGTATGTGTGGGAAACGAGTCGGGGCCGCCACGTCCCGGATGAAGATGTCATAGCCGACGCTGTGTGGCTCCCTCCCGTCACTGGGACCAACATGGCCAGGGAGTCGCGAGAGCCGCAGCTGTAGTGACCTTGATCGCTTGGGGTCCGTCCGGAATGTGGACACATGCGAAGGATTTCCGAGACTAGATGTGTTGCTGCTCCCCAGGTGGATTGGTCCAAAGTGCCCGGAGTGTCCGACTGACGACAGCGCAATTAGCTTTGCTTGGACACGCAGTTAATTTCAGCTCACATCGCTAACGTTTGATCCTGCTTGTGCCTTAACGAGCACCTGGATGGTCGAAATTCGTGAAAGGTGTAGCGGGCCTCTTGTACTGTGACATGCCATGATACGTTTGGGACAACTGCTCAGCTACATCTCTCAGATGCAAGAATTAAGTGACTCGTCCATGAGACTAGTCCAGCGGATGTCACAGAGCTCTGACACACTGCCAAATGAAACCCTCGATTGCCTCGTAGTGCAAGTGCCAGAGAGAAGACGAATCATTCGTTCAACCTAGGATCGAGTCACATGATGAGTAGTCGGCCGGGCATGCGCTGCAACTCCAGATGCCTGTACTTGACTGTCGTCACCTATGCAAGCAACAAGCCCTCTCATTCGAAGTTGCATGCAGCCCAACAAATCATACCTCCTTCAATAGTGCAGCATGAGGCTGTAAGAGATCGGGTCGACCTGGATCATTTTGGATCGGGCCGTGGGCCCTGCCGGAATGTTGCTGGAACCTACTTGGAGTCACTAAGTGTGACCTATAGGCTCGAGAGTGTTGAGCTGCTGGTGTACCGGGACTGTCATTTATCTCTTTATGCTTCAGGCTGCGCAATTGATAGGTCAGTTGCTGCGATGCACGGCCGCCATGGCCAAGTCGATGATAAGGAAGTCAAGGGCCTGCTAAGAGTCGACTGAGACACACCGACCGGCGATGGGCGGCCGTGTGCATTAGACTAGACCGCTACCAGTGCACCTCGCTCGAAGAGCCCGTGCTCCAAAAGTCACAGCAGCTATGCGTGGTTGCCCGCTCCGTGTAGGTAGCATCTGAGAGTGACATCTGGGTTTCGACCAATAGATAGACAGAAGCGGTGCTCTGTGTAAGAGAAGCTGCAGGGGTGCAGCGGTCTGGCTGCGTATCTCATCACAGTCTCCACACTTCATGAGTTAGTTGAGGGCGCAGGTTCCGAGCCGCGGAGCCCGGCCCTTCTTGTGTCGCCTGTAAGTTGATCATGCTCTCACAGATTTTCCGTGCCGATTAGTGTTTCTGCCCAAGGTCGTGAGTTCTGCAGAGCAATTCTACTTGTGCTGCCCCAACGAAGGGCATCCCGAACCGGAGCGATCTTCTAGTCTTTGGTCTTGTCTTGCACGGTTCCAGCGCGACCTGGCCGCCAGACCTGCCCTGCAGGCTCGAGGAGCTCGCCGATTCCAACTCCAACTGTCCTGATTCTGGATCTCGTTCTGGCCACTGCCGACCGCATCAGCTTGTTACGTAGTCCGTGTCCAAAGCAAGATACGGCTTGGTCAACAGCTGACTGCCCAACTACTCTCTGTGCCATTATGCGTCTCCAACCAGTCTTCCATTTTCTGCCGGGCAGAAGCAGCATTGACAGAGCCATGAACACTCCATCTCTTGCTAGTATCGTTTTCACTGAGTGCACCGGCTTGCCGAGTTTGGCGGTGCGCTGTGCAATCATGTCCAATCTGTGTAGCAGAGTTTTCCCGCCTTGAGTTGCCGGAGGATTTCTGCCATGGGCAGGGAGCAGCCAATGCAAACGCACCATGGCAGCCGAGTTAGACTCATGAGCCTTTCATAGCTTCCTGGTCAGGTTCGAAGGATGCCTGCCAGGTCTGTGTTTTCGCAGAGCACGACAAAGAGGGGCTTCCTGTTGCCGGCACAGCTGATACTCCGTTCGTCGCTGGCGCCGACTTCACGTCCGCCAGTAGCACCGGCTCAGTCCCATGCGCGTTCTGCAAACTTGACATCGTAATACCTGCAGTGAAGTGGATGCTTGCTTCCCAAAACAGCGGAGACCGCGAAGCCACGATTTGTCGCGCCTTGTTGGGGTCTGCCAATGCAATTATGAAGGCCTGAGTGGGCATTTCTTGTAGAAGAACAAGGAAGAAGCACAGCAGCGCAGGTGTTGGCTTCCGCAGCCCTGGTCGTCTTGGCCGGAAAGTGTGTCGATTTCAGCGATCTCAGGTGGGGGTACACTGCTTTTTTGTGCAGGTGGCCGCGGAGCTGCCATGCTCAGCAAGGACACCTCGACCCTCGAGTAACCGAAGCGCTCTTCAGCAGATGGGTAGCGGAGACGGCGGAGAGGGGCGGGGCACGACGGTCTCGACGGAACAGAGAGCGATTGATCCCCATCGACGAAGGTCACTGAAGAATCAGAGTGAGCAGCTGTAAGACGCTGTAAGGCATGCCACACCCAGAGTGCAAACCAGAAGAGGATCCTAGAATTCTCTCGGGATGCAACGGAAGATGCTTCTGGGTGCTTTTGGGTGTTTCTTCACGAGGCAGGAGAGTTGAACGGTCCGGTGGTCGACGTGAGAGAGAAAAGGTCCCATTTGGACAGCCAGACACAAGAGTCAGACATGCTTCGGGTCTTGCAAGGACTGGCGAATGTGCGACGCAGGAAGACTCTGACTTCGTCGGGCTCACCGAGGCAGGTTTGGATCAGACAGGATATATTGCTTTAACGGTTCCATGAGAACCTTGCATGCAGAATCTGGGCCAGTAAACCTTCGTCCATCCTTGTATGAAGTTGATTTGCATTCTTGTAGATTTATTGACAACTCTTAGACGGTTCCATTCCCCACAAGTGCTCCAGCCACACTGGGACTTGCCATGTGCCAGGCGAATGATACGGCAAATCGCTTGGGCCTAAACCTACAAGTCAACCGGCACATCATCTTCAACCCTGTGGTGAGGGAGCTGGTCCAATGTCCGAGGCGTGCCTCCACCCGACTTGGCGTGGCCCCCAGCGGTCTCTGCGCATCAGACACGGCAAAAGTCCCACTGCAGGCGTTGACAGTCAAGGCCAGGGCTGCGACCGCAAATTGAGTTCGGTTCGGTGCATGCCAAGCGGGCTGCCATCCTTCAAGTGGTGCTTTAACATTTCAATGCGGACGTGCCTTGCTCGAGCATCTGCCGCCAGGGGATTTCTATGGACACCCCCAAGATCTTGGTGCTCCTCATGTTCGCAACAGCGATGGTGTCATGGATGCTGCCTGAGTTGTAGGGTCGTGACTGGAGTGGAAGTTGAGGCTTTTGGCTGCCAAAGTTGGTTCAGTGTGTGAATCACCGACGAGAAGCAGCTTACTTTCTGACAGCACGGGAACCCTCATGCAACAAGGCATCTGCCGGCAGTCGTAGCAGAGGTGAGTTGATGGTTTCGACAAGTCCCGTTCAACCATTTTTCAGAACCAGCGAAGCCGGTACATTAGCTGGCTCAGCTGAGCCAGCAAGGTAGTCCGATCGACTGTGAAGCGAAAGCAACGTGTAGTGTAGCGTGCTCAGGATTCTCGCCACCGTCAAGTGGGCTGTGGATGGTTCACTGCCTGCCAGGCTCAAAGGGCCTGTCCCCTTTGCACTAGTGGTCGACATCTTAGAAGGCTCCTAGCAGGAAAACTGGGATGTTGCGGGATGTCATCTCTTCGATCATGCCGCGATGCCGAGAGACTCACATGACAGCGAGTGTGTAGTGCAGGATTGTGCAGCGCGTGATGACATGATGTTGATTGTCGTTGCTCCCTCACCCTCACTTCTCACTTCTCACTCTCACCCCGACTCCTCATCTCTCGCCTCGAGTTTGCTGTTGCGAGGCTTGCGGTGTGGGGCCTGCTGCCGGAGGCACGCGGAATCTTCGTTCGTAACACCCCGCGTGACATTCATGACGGGGCAGTGCCACGCAGGCTTTCGCAGCCATCAGCGTGCGCTCGGTGGCTGCATTGCTACGCTTGAAGAGGTCTTGAGCAGCTTCGGAGCGGACCAAATCGAATTGGATTTCCTGCTGCCAGCGGCTCCACGCCGGTGCTCGCGCTGAAGACCTGTGTCAGCGATAGCAACGTGCAGGACTTGGCCGAGGCCTTCGCGACAGCGTAGTGCAGGATAAACAGCTTCTCATACAGTAAGTCAATGTCATGAAGTCGCAATGCCACAAAGTGACGTTCGAAGCAGAGGGGTCACACCAGAAAGGTTGTGTGAGCCTTCGCCTGCGGGGCTTCGCCTGACCAGGCTCTGCGTCGCCACGGCAAGCAGGCAGAGCTGCAGGCAGCCGACACATAGCTGCATTCTTGGACATCGTCGAAGCCGTCACATGATTTTTGTGCAGTCTCTGGAGCTTCCCTACAACCACGAGCTTACCGAAACAGGTCTGGCCGCCAGATCTGAGTTGCCCGATTCCTTCAGTTGTCTTGCCCAGTGGCAGGTGTCCAGCAGCTGGTTGAGGCAGTCACCGAAGGAGGGCCCACGACTGAGGTTACACGCTGCCGGATCAGTCGACGCGAAGACCGTGAGCAGTCGGGCCGAGGGTAGAACTGGAGGAGCTGGATCTCTCCTTCAATGCGCAATTAGGCGTGTGAAGGATGTGAATGGGTAGAGTACTTTTGGCGTTGAGAGGCCTTCGCAGAGAGCCACCGTAGGCGAGCTGCTCCTGGCCAGGTGATGGCGCAGTGCGGGTCGTGCTGCCACTGTGCATGCCGCCCTTCCGAGTCTCGACGCTGAGGCCATGTGATGTGCTGTTTCGCTGGAGGGCACAGCACAGCTCGAAGACCGCATCGTCTCATCCCAGAGGCTGGTGGACTGCTCCTTGGGCTGCGACGCTCTGAAGCTGCTGGCGCAGCATGCGACAAGGCCATGTCAATGTGCAGTTCCGGCAAAGCGATAGCCTCTTTGGCAAATGTCATATGTGTGGGCAGGCTTCGGCTGAACGTCCTGCACCTTTCGGCGAACAAGTTCACCGGACTTGGTGACATCTTGGTGGAGGTGTCGCTCACGAGCAGTATGCGAATTGGCTTCCACTCAGCCGCCCGGAATTTTTCGCCAAGGTTATGGAAGCCCCAGTGCTGGAGGTCTGTGTCGAAACAGCCGCACAGGTCGAACCGCTCACTCAAGCTGACAGGACCTGGCTTTGGTACACTGTGCTCTTTCACTAGAGGACTGCTGCCACCGTCTGCGACGGCGAGCAGAAACTTGAAGCAGTCCTGCAAGGATCTCACGAGTGTTGCGGAGCAGCTGCCGTACACCTCCTTAAAGTCCGAAGCCGAGTCACGAGGGGGTACTGAGACACACACACACACGAGACGAGTACAGTGCTCTCTGAGAAAGGGCCTAAGCGGTTAAAAAAATATAAGAAGAAAAGGTCCATCCAGCTGGCGAGCAACCAAATCGATGGGACCGGTCTCAAGGCTGAGACTTCCTAAGGCGACACTTTCGGCAGGGAATCTTTCAGCTTCCGCCAGGTTCTTGCGGAGCAGCTCCCGAAGTCGCAGCTGGACGAACTCGGGCTGGAGCAGAACCTCTTGAAGTCGGAGGACTTGAGCTGTGCCTCGGCAGCAGCTCTCGGCCAAGATCTGACCGGACCCCTCATCAGCTCCAGCCGGGGAAGCCCAGCGCCATGCACCAGGTCTTGGCACCGCCTGGGCAAAACGGCCGTTCTCGCGGCTGCGGCTTGGCGGGCCCGTGCCTTTGCCTTGCGGAGTTGTTGAGTGTGTGCACGTCTCTGGAAAGCCACCCTGCGAAGAGGAATGCCGTGGAAAAGGAAGAGGTGGCGAACTTCATCAAAACCCTGCGCCTGCTTCAAGCATGACGTGCAAAACAGACGTGAGGTCTGTGCAGGGTTTAGATGATCAGCGGTGGAATGCCTTGGTTTTGTCGATGCTGCAAGTGCCATCAGCAGCTGTTGCCTGTTATCATTCTTGTGGCTCGATGACTCCATGACGATGCCCTAGGTCAGGGTGCCAGCAAAGTTCTTGAGAAGGAAGCTTTCTTGTGTGGGCGGATCCATTTTTGCATCGAGCTGTACGCTTCCTTACTGCTGGGGTGCCTTGCCATGCCGGACGCGGGCACATGCTCCTGTCCATACCTCCAACATCCGTCTTCGCAGGATTCAGGCGGGGCGTGATTTGCAGCAATGCCACCAAAATTATTTAGTGTGTGGGACATTCGCTATGACAGGCACGAGACTGAGAAACAAAGGACAGTTGAAAGGGCAGGTGCTTCCACGCATTTGACCGTACACATGCCGGACGTCATGGCGAGAGTTAAACCATTTGTCTGGTGATGTTAGCTTGTTGGCATCGTTTTGCTTTCCGCTTTTCGCTTGTTATTGTACTCCGCCTCTGCTTCCTATCATTACGCCGCTGTTGCTTGGTGCTTTGCTGTTAAGACTGTGTACTTATTTCTTTCGGTGTTGCCCTCCGATTGCTTTTCGTGATCAACTGCCATCGCCTGATGAGGGGGCGGGGTTAAAAAGTGTGATCAAGCGCCATCGTCCAATGAGGCGGGTCAAAGAAGTGTGGCCAACCGCCATGGTCCAAGGACGAAGCGGGTTCAAAGAACTGAGAGCGACCGCCGTCACCCGATGGGTTGAAGACAGACGATCAAACGCCAGCGCCTAATGAGGGGGGATTCGAAGAGGAAAGCAAGCTACCAAAACAAACATCACAAATGCCTGCGAACTTTGGGATCCGTTTCTCGTTGTCAGATTGCCACTCAAGGCCGCTGTTGACTGCCAAAGTCCCCCAGGCCTCGGCAGCTCGACTTGGCAACACTGGCCGGGTTCGGGAAGTGCGGCTGTGCAGCACCATAGTCTGGTAGTGTCATGTCCTGTAAAGTAAAGCCTTGCATTGATCCGATGCGCAACGAGACTACATCATGTACGTCCTTCTGACTATGCAGCTTGAGACTCAATTTGCACTTGGGACCTCCGGGCTTTCGTTTGTGAAGCCATGGTCGGTGTCGTTCGAGAAAGAGAGGAAGGCGAGCGAGATGATCGAGCCACGTTCACGGACCTGAAGAAGGCCAGAAAGGAAGACTGCTCTTTGATGATGCGTGGCTTCAATAAGGTCGCCTCCCCTACCCAGAATGCAGAGCGCATCTTGAAGATGTTTCGAGACCAGAAAGGGGTCAACATTGGTACAACTGTTGATTTGTATGAGCACGGCCTTCAAACAGCGACTCGGGCTTTCCGAGATGGATGCGACGAGGAGACGGTGGTGGTCGCCTTGTTGCATGACCTTGGGGAATGTTGGTCGCCTATCAATCACGGTGAGATAGTTGCCAGCTTGTTGCGCCCGTACATCAGCCCGCAGAATTATTGGGTACTTGTTCATCACGAGCTGTTTCAGGCATATTACTACCAGGATGCTTTCGAACTGAAAGAAAAAAACTCCAGAGACAGGTTCAAGGACAGCCCTCATTGGAAGGCCTGCGAGACCTTCTGCGAGAAGTACGATTCGCCTGCCTTCGATCCCGAATACGACTCCCTGCCGCTCGAGCATTTTGAGCCTATGGTAATCCGGATCTTCAACCGGAAGCCATATGTGGCCAGCAATTGCGGCGAGACTTGGCTCATTATCATCCCGTGCTTTCAAGCGTTAGAATTGAGATAGTGCTGCCCAGGAGGACAGCGAGGTGAACAAAGCTAAGATGACCCTGGCGGAGGCTTATCCCTCTCCAGAAGAGCTGGAGGCGGCATAAGGACACAGAGCGCAGGTTTCTGTTAAGAGATGTTAAGACAGTTAAGAGAGTTTCCGAGTTTCCTCACGAGATGCCACCAGGACCGCCGAGCCACGACCAGCGAGCTGAAGAGCGTTCTTCCTGGGCACTTCCTGGCGCATCCCACGCGGGCGGGGAGGGCAAAGGCTACGGCTGCGGCGCCGTAGCCGCCTGTGGGGGGCCCGCTTCGCCTGCTTCGCCTGCTTCTGCTCGCCTTCTGCTCGTCCCGGGCTGCTCTGTTCCATTCCGCCCGCGGTTGTCCGCCTTTGGAGGTTTCACGCCCGCAGCCAGCAAAAGAGAGTTGAAGCTCCGTGCCTTCTCGCAGCAGCCAATCCGTGACTCAAGCAAAAAAACCCATGCCAGGCGGCCGTCGCGAGCGGCGAAGCCTTTGCGCCGATGACGCAAAAAGAAGTGTCACTGATTTCCAGAACGCGGTATCTGAGTGTGTTTTATAAACCCGAGACCTGCATGCAACTACCTGCAAGATATGTGAGGTCCCAACCTCCGCAACTACACAGCTTCCTGCATACCATTGCTTCCAGCTTGCCTGCGATCCGCATGAAAGGGTCGTAGGGTCCTAGTCGTGCATTACTCTGATGAGGTGTCACGCGCTTTTGCTCGAGATCTGCCAAGAGGGAACATTCCGAGGGGCAGCCTCGAAAGCAAACGGCCAAACATTTTCCAAGTCCTGTCCACCTTGTCCTCGGACAGAAGCATCAACACCATCCCCCACTGCAGAGCTTCGAGCTTCGAGCTTTGCCGTCGCCCCCATGCGGCCATACTCGATCGAGGCGGGACGCTGGGAACCAACAGTTCACTCTGCTGATGCCCGTACTTGCAGGATGAGCTTCCAAGTACCCTGGCTGCGGATCCGTGCACAAGCTTATCGAGCATTGCAGTGATATGACCGTTGCGAGATCGGATGTTGAAGCTTGTGCGGGTCCTAGTTCCAAGCAGCTGTCCAAGCAGCTGTCTAACAGGTTCGATCCTACCAGGAGGAACTGAAGCAAGAAGAGGACTGACACCTCTCTCTTTCCTCCCGTTTGCCTCCCAATGTTTGGCTCGTTTCGTGCGTTCCTGCAGCCTTGGCAGGAACATCTTTGTAGGACGCGAAATGTGCTTCTCGCAGGACTTGCTCAAGGAGCGTGAAAAGGAGATCCGAGCAAGACGGGAGGCATGCTTTCAGGCTTTCGCCTGCCTCGGTTCTCCTGCCCGGCTGTGCGGCACAGGCCAGACGCTTGAAAGAGACACGCCAGCGTCTATCAGGCTGCCGATGATCTGTGCGATTTACTGTCTGCGATTTGGTTAGACTGCGTCGTCTTTGAGCTGCAAGTTGTGCATTTATCTCTGCTGCTAGCGCTACAGCTTCCTGCTCCTGCTCCTGCTCCTGCTCCTGCTCGTGCTACTCCTACTCCTACTCCTACTCCTACTCCTACTCCTACTCCTACTCCTACTCCTACTCCTCCTACTACTCCTACTCCTACTCCTACTCCTACTCCTACTCCTACTGCTACTCCTACTCCTACTCCTACTCCTCCTACTCATACTACTACTACGACTACGACGACGACGACGACGACGACTACTACTACTACTACTTCTTCGACTACTATCGCGACTACCGCTATTGCCACTACTACGACTACGACTGCGACTGTTTCTACGACGATGACGATTACTACTACCACCACCACCACAACCACCGCCACCGCCACCGCCACCGCCACCGCCACCGCCACCGCCACCGCCACCGCCACCGCCACCGCCACCGCCACCGCCCCCGACCGCCACCGCCACCGCCACCGCCACCGCCACCGTCACCGCCACCGCCCCCGCCCCCGCCCCCGCACCCGCCCCCGCCCCCGCCCCCGTCCCCCGCCCCCGCCACGCCCCCGCCCCCGCCCCCGCCCCCGCTCCCGCGCTGCCGCCGCCGCCGCCGGCGCCGGCGCCGGCGCCGGCACCGGCACCGCCACCGCCACCGCCACCGCCACCGCCACCGCCACCGCCACCGCCACCGCCACCAGCAGCAGCAGCACCACCACCACGATCACATATCACCGGCAAAAACAACACCGACAACTGTCTTTTTTTCGGAGGCGGGCCTTTCGTACTCCAAGAATAAATATAAAAAGCAACGAGAGCAAGAAACATTCATAACAAGAACACGAAGGGTTAGAAGGAGAATGACAAGAACAGCAAGAAGAACAGCAGGAATAGCAAGAAGAGTAACGAGCAGAAAAACACGAATAGTAACAAGACGAAGTCAAGAAGAATAGCAAGAAGGAGCAACAAGAATAACAGCAATAAGAATAGCAGTAGGCTAGGGGGGTGAACACCGCGCCTGTGTTTCGAGCAGGGGCGAAGGGTTTCAGGGCTTAGGACTGCTTGAGGGTTCCTGTAAAGCTTGCGGACGCAGAAGACGAAAACCAGACAAAATCGAAAAAAACAAGAACAAGAACACATTAACTTGAAATTTTCGTAATGAGACTTTTTTCGGGTTTTTTTTTGCTTTTTGTTTTGTTTTATAAGTGTATGTATTTTTCTTTGTTCTTGTGGTTTGATTGTTTTGTGTGCCTTGGTTTTTTGTTTCTATTTCTTTCTGGTGTTTATGTTATGGATACACATCCATTGAACAGCATGTAGTCGATAGGTCTAGGTGCAAACGTTAGTGCCTTGTCGCGATGCGTGTTGGCATAATGTAAAAACCGCCTCAAGATCCTCGCCTTCGCATAGTACCTTCTGCACCAACTGGATGGGAAGTTTGCATTGATACCTTACCGGATGGTCGCTCGAATGGTATATCATATCTTTTGCCATGGTTTCTTGTTTGTTTCAGCGTCATGTCATCAGCTTCCTCAGGTTCAACCGCTTGGCACATCCGGGAGATCTTCTTCACATTGTTCCGCTCGTACGGCGAGCAACGTCTGAGTGAGTGAGGCGTAAATGTGCGCGCAGCAATCTCCGTGGTCATAAAGAGACCAGGCCCTGGGGTTGAAGCTGTGGGACATTTTCGTTTCCGACAAATGGAACGCCGCACTGTCAGTGTTTAAGGCCCACATGAGCACCAAGAACTTGTCAACAATGGAGTTCATCGCGAAGTCGTGAACCATAGCACGGGTAATAATACATGTATATATATATATACAGTTAATGTTAAGTGTAGATATATGTGTATATATAATATGGCACCCCCCCAGGACCTGCCTCCAAATCTGTCTGTCTACATATATGATACCGCACTTCATTACCCATGCACACACATGCACACCCACGCACACACATGCAACATGGACTAGGGTATACGAAGAGTAGTGTATACGAACATGACTATACCAGAGGCCCGGCTGCATGAAAACCTGCATTAAAAATTGATATTTAATGCAGTCCGGCCCGTGGAACCAAGAACCAAGATGCCAGGAGTCTTGAATCTTGAATCTTGGTTCCATGGGCACCGGCCAGGTTGCATTAAAATCTGCAATAGTTTGCATTAACAAATTTAAGTTTTGATGCAGCCCGGCCCGAGGAACCAAGAACCAACAACCAAGATGCCCATGAGTCTTGATTCTTGGATCTTGGTTCCGCGGGCACCGGCCGGGCTGCATAAAAATCTGCGTTAAAAATTACATTTTCATGCAGCCAGGCCCGTGGAACCAAGATTCAGGATTCGAGACTCCTGGGCATCTTGGTTCTTGGTTCTTGGTTCCACGGGCCAGGCTGCATTAAAATGTAATTTTTTAATGCAGCCCGGCCGGTGCCCGTGGAACCAAGATTCAAGATTCAAGACTCTTGGGCACCTTGGTTCTTGGTTCTTGGTTCCACAGGCCGGGCTGCATTAAAATGTAATTTTTAATGCTGATTTTAATGCACCCAGGCCGCTGGAAACCATGTAAATATTCACGAAACAGATCGGTTTGCCATTTTATGTGCCACATGACCACTCCTGCAGTGAAGATTAGCGAACGGATTGCTGTGCTTGACAGTTTGATCGCATGACAACAAATGTGTGATGACCCAAGCTGCAGCTATTCAAAACCAAGTGATCTTGTACCTCCAGCTGGACTCCAGCTCCCGTCTTGTCCTTGTGAGCATGTCGGCGCATTCCTCGTCGGTAAACATCGATGGCACCATGAGCTTGGACGCGGCTGGTACGGCGACCATCCGCTTGACCAGAGCGACTCCTACGTCATCAAATCCAAGTCCATCCGCAACGACAGCATCAGCGTTCAAAGGACTGGATCTCTTCCCGGTCGACACGCCACCGTCTTCGGAGTTCATTCTGCGTGGCATAGAGAACAATGCCTTCGAATTCCATCCTTCCAAAAGAAACCTTTCCTCGCGGCAAGTCTACGATATGCTGTACAACATCCAGAGCAGGCTTGGTCTCATGAGGGGACTGGATGGCGGATGGTCCGCCACCGCGAGCAAGCAAATGTTGGACATGCTAAAAAAGCTAAGAACCGGAACAATAAAGCGACATCGTCTTCTTCGGCACCATTGGCGATTGAAGATAAAGACCAAATGATGGCGATTGCAGCAAAAGGAAGAAACGGACGAGGACAAGGAGACTGTCAAAGCCAAGTCCGACAACTCACCGGATGATGGTGAGAGCAGCTGGGGCGATACCAGCTCAGACGAGGCTGGCGAGAATGGCGCCAGCTTAAGCACGGCATCCACGCCATCCCCCGTGGATCTGAGCACGTGGACCTCCGACTGGCACGACACCTACGTTTGTGCTCTGGACCTGGTGACCCCACAGATGGTCCAGAACAGTCCAAAGAAAAAACGTATCATGGACAAGGTCCTCTGCACGATCAAGAAGGCGAAGACTAAGTTCGAGAGCCTGTGAGTGTTGCACCTCATCAACATATCTTCATTTCGGGTTAAGTCGTTTAGTAACACGTCTGTAGTTGTAATACTACACATAGGGCGGCTACTTGCTTTCAGGTATATGTTTTTATATATGATATGCATATTGATGATTTCGATTTATGTCGTTTGCTTGTATCCCCAACATATCTTCCTTTACTTTAGGGTTAAGTCGTTTAGTAACGAGTTTGTAGTTGGAATACTACATACAGGGCGTGCTACTTGCTTTCAGGTATACGGTTTTGTATATCTGGCACAGATGTTGCTTCCTTTCCCAAGGATGAAAGTAGAGCAGTCACATCGTCCATCGACGTACGGTTGTGCCTCACAAAAAATATGTGCAACGCTTACTTCGTGGCAGTGTATGTGAGTGGCTATGCGCTTGTACATTATGCCGTATGAATACTTGATATTGTACAACATATCAATATTGAAGATACCACTGCTCGAGGGAAACGGTACCAAGTCATAGTTCCGTAGTCACGATGTCATCCCTCTTCGACACTATCCTGGCACACGTTGGCGGGAAGGGTTGGAATTATGACTCCTTGGCAGTGCCACAGTGCGGCATGGTGAAGGCCGAAGATCTCGAGGAGCCGATCACATTGCAGCAGTTTCTTCAGGAGGCATGCCGCCGCCCAGACGAGGCCAAGGTCACCACGCTTCTTTTCGAAGTGCACACCAATGTCCCCGAGTTCGGTGGCTTCGCACGCATCGGCGAGCAAGTGCAGCGCTCTGAACTTGATCAACTTCCACTTCCATTTGCGGTCTCTCAAGCTCTTCCCAAAGGAGCCAAGATGGGATTGAGAACGGATAACCACCAGGACGGGTCTACTGAACATTGTCAAGATTTTCCACTTCTCAGAGAAGATCGCCATTAACCATGCGTTGAAGCTTTGTTCCGGGGATGCTTACGTTCCAGTGTACCGACCTGGCCCCCGGGCTGTCAAGAAGACTGTGCAATTCCTTCTTTAATGTCTGCCAGGGTATCGTGTTCTATGGAACAACGTCGGCCAGAAACCCGCCAACCTACGAAAGGCTCAATCCTCTCAATGGGCGCCCGAAGATGAAGCTCTACGACACGGGATTGATTACATCAATGCCAATGCACCAGAGGGTGATGCACTCAATGAGCAGTCCTTTTGGATCCTCTGCGGCATCCGGGAAGGCTCTGACACTCCGATAGCAGGATGGACGGAGGCCAAAGTCCGAGACATGTGCAGAAACAAGTCTCGGGGAATGGCCGGTGCTCAGCCAAACTATGATTACCCTTTGCATACGTACAGCTTGAAGGGCTTCCTGTCTGAGTTTCTGTTGCCACTCCTATACCCCCTACTTGTCTTGCACGGCGTGATGACGATAGGATGGCCGGGTGTGGGTAAGACACCAGCCCTGATTGT